CGTGAGGGGCGCGCCTGCAGTAGCGCAGATAGAGAGGGAGTGAGTGAGAGGAAGAGGGAAGTTCTGCTCGTAATATAACGAAAATAACGAACTTTATGCTTTCTATGTGTGTGCTTGTGCGGTAGATAAGCTGCAAAGGATGCCGATGCTCATGAAGGATGAGCACTCAGCCTGCCAAGCAAAATAAAAATAAAATAAAAAAAATAAAGAAAAAAATAAAGAAAATAAAATGAAAGTTTTCGCAATGGGATTACGATATCCGAAATGCACTTACTACTTCTATAGCTTACAATTTTTTTCGGGCTGATGCTTGAAGGGATTTTCGATATGCTTCATTAACAGACTATAATGTATAAATTAGTTTTGCCAAAAAGAAGAAGGTACTTATTTAAGAAAAGTTTGCCAAAAATGTTAGCCACTTATGTTATTTGAAAGCACAAGCTAATGTAACGGCATCTGTTGGTAACAGCACGTAGTACTCTAACAGCTGTAACCAATAGCATTCTGTAAACTGATGTTAATGCTTATGCTAGCAAAGGCACTGTTAGTAACATCATTTTACATATTTTCAATCATTTTAATTTGGATGCTATAGCACAGAAATGCCTTTTATGTCAGAAATTTTATTCAGAATTATTAAAAGGAAGTCCAAGGCAATGAACTTAGCTCGAGGTTATGAAACATTAAGAAATATATGTATTTCTTAAAGTTTAACAACACTGTTCGAAGTGCTGCGTAAGCTTTGAAGTGTTGCAAACCGCTTTTTTTTTTTAACTCAATCATCTTGCGATTAGTGTATTTTATCTGAACATGTTCCAACTTATGTGAACTTTTGTGCATGTTTTCGTTTGCCTGCCAAATACGCTCACTGGGTCCGGTCGCCCCTGTCCGTCCATCAAGTTGGGTTGATTTGGGGCTCGTTTCGTTTCATTTCACTTCGTCCTGTTTTGCAACGTTTGTATTTGCTTTCCGTATGCCTTGTGTTTCTTATAAATTATTAAAAACGCCATGACTCTGGGCCATAAAGTTTCTATCTCTACCTTGGCTTTAAGGCCTGCATAACGGCCTGACTGCCTGCCCACTACTTTGGCCATTTGATGTGGACCCAGACTATCCCACAAGACGCCGCAAAACGCTGCGAGCATCACAAAAGGATTTGCCTTATTGAATCTCCACCGTCGTGTGCGGCTGAACGCAAAGTTGTTGCCAACAATTTTCCAAAATTTAAAGGTGTTGTCGTTATAAAAATATTCTATTGAATTTGTCAGCGTCCCCACAATAAAACAAGTGCCCGACTAGGAGTTACCCTAAACCCCTCTCGCTTTTAAAATCATCGAGTTGTGCTAAAGAGACAATGTTTAAAAATCGATATTCATGCAAAGATTTCGACCAGAAATGATAAGTTCGTTCTGCGTATTATATAAAAGAAGATATATCGCAAATTTCAAGTCTTCAGACATGACTGTAAGAACTCAGCTCATGCTGATCGCGTGTTGGCCTGTTGCATACATTTGCCCTAAACATTATACCCTATTTGCCCAAGTTAAGTGCTAAGGGTATGAAAATAACACCCCAGAGTCTGTACCTGACACAATTATTAAAAAGGTACAGATTCTGCTCGAACTGTGTGCACAATTTAATGGAAACATTTTCAATTTTATGAGCTTCTATTCAATTGTTGCCATCGATGAACGGGAACAGTGTTGTAAAATACTAAAAAAAAAAACAGATGAACCATTGTGATATTCGTATATATATAAATAATTGAGTCTGGCTTGAAATGGGTAAAGTATTGGTATTCTTAATTTATGGAGTTCCACTTCCACTGTGACAGTTTATTATTTTACGAACTGTTGACAGCTACAGTTAATAATTTAAAAAGTTATCGTATAGATTTTAGTTAGCTGGTTTGAACTAGTTCATTTGCTTTTTATTCTTTTCTGAGCTGTTTCTGCCTGAAGCATAAGAACTAGTTCGCTTTTATTGTGTGCTTTAGCTGTCCTTTGTTATTCTCTGGTAATGTAACTAATTTGTTATTTTAGCCAAACAATTTGCGCTCTTTGTTCGACTAGTTCCAGTTCATTGTTCTTTTGAGCTAATGGCTATAAATGGTTTGCCCGACTGACGTTAATTAATGCTATGCAGTTTCTTCTTTCAGCCTCTACGTTTCTCTCATTTTCTGCAATGCAAAAAACTTGCGTATTATTTCTTGTTTTATTGTTTTCACTTAAAAATTTGTGAACTTTTCGGAATTTCGTCTGGTATTCAGTATTGGGTGGCAACACTTTTTTCACTGTTTTTGCAGTTTAAGCTCTGCGGCTATTGCCGTACAAGAGAAAACAAACCACAAAAAAAAAAAAAACACAAAACAAAAAAGAAAGAAAACCAAATAAAAAACAAAAAACATAAAAAATATTTGCCAGCATATTTTGTGGCACAGTGCTAGCCGCTCGGAGCCTCCCAAGCCCAACTGGCCAGAGAGTGTGGCGGCAATTGTATTAACAGAGAGCCCTGGCAAAATGCTTTTGGATGCAGCTCACAAATTGCTGGCTTCATGCTTCAATTTTATGCAACACACACATACACAAATACTATATGAAAAAGTGGCAAATTTAACTCTGGCAGCGCCAGGATCCGGCTTCTACTTTATTATTATCTGGTTCTTTGTTCCACGGCTTCCCTTGTTATGTTAAAGAAGCTGCCGCTGGCAAAAGCCAAACAACAACTCGTCTATGGATGTGGCCATTTCCTGTCGCCGCCCCCGCACACCTACCCCCGCCATCTCTCGCCCTTCGGTTCGTCCAGTGTCAGCTTCCTGGCTTGCATTGGATTTTTCATAAAGCTTATGCATTTTGTATATGATCCAACGGAAGCAGATGTGCGCACCAAACCAAGCCAAACTAAATAATATGCAACCGAAACTGCGATACGCTGAACCACTTCACAAACCACTCTGAACCGCTGTGAACCGTTTCTAAAGTCTACAGCGCTCTGAGATCGCTTCATGCATAGCTAACTAACCACAAAGCACAAATAAAACTGCAGCTATATATGCACTTTTCAAATAGTTTATAGCTACATATGCACACATGCACACATGCACACGTACACACACATATGCAAATATGTAGCTGCATACACTGCTCTTAAATGTAGTTCCATATTCAGAATCAGGAATCTCTCAAGCCCCTGAGAATGTTTTCAAATATCCTTGGTATTTCATTGATTTGATCGAGCAGAGTTTCGAAATAAATATTCTCATATATATAGGAAACGTCAGAGATTGTCTTCCGTGCCCAAACGCTTCTCAATTCTATAAAGAATAAATAAAATAAATTTGTATTTCTTATTAAACTTCTATTTTGATTCATATCTTATCTAGCAAAGGCAACTCTTTTTGCTGTCTGGCAACTCTACCCTTTGTATTATCTGGAACTTGCGTTCTAATGCATCAAACTTTTTTCTTTTTTTTTACTAACTGCGATTGCGCCCAAACCAAAAATCGTGCAATTTAATTTTTACATCGATATTGACTTTAGACACATTTATTTTAACTATTTGATCACATTTTTAAAATAATGGAATTGACTTCATTTTGATTTTTATGAAAATATTTTTTCTCTGTGTGTGATTTTATGGGTAGTTGGGTGTTTTATATATATATATATATATATATATATATATATGTATATACATATATGGTTGCGAATAGTCAATAAGGAAATCGCAGAGGACCATTTTTTTTAAGCAGCGTTGCTAAGTGTGGGGATGTGGCGAGGGGTGCAGAGCGTGCTGTGCACAGTGGGTGGCTTGGTGGGTAAAAATCAAAGTTTTGTTTTCGCCACTGATCCAAACCCAGGAACATTGCGAACCTTTGACTAACAACTTTGTCATATGCATGGTACATGGTGGATGTGTGTGTGTGCATGGCATAAAGAAAGAAGGGGCAACATGTGTGTGTTAGTCTGTGTGTGTGCTGTAAAGATGCTGCTGTTAGTTTACAACATTTATTGCTTGCATTGTTGCGGCCGTTGTTGTTGTTGTTGTTGTTGTTGCCTTTGGCGTTTGCCATTGTTTGTTGTATTTGGAATGTTCAATATACTCACACAGCATGAGATAAATATAAGATAATAAGAAGAAGCAGAGATTTTGTCGTGCTGCCTTCGTGCCCTTGGCACTGACACCATGCTTGGAGAGGGTATTCGATGGGGCACATAAATGTAAAAGTAAGGGATATGCCCCTCGGAGACAAAAACATATTTTCAATTACATTGCCACTAACTTATGCAGCAGCCTCTCCCTTTCTCTCTCTCTCGCTCTCTCTCTCTCTCTCTCTCTCTCTCGCTCGCTTTGCCGGTTGCATAACAATTGCAATAACCAAAACTAGTTGCAATTTATAAGCTGAACAGCTGCAAAATATATTTATGCATTTGTATATTTATCGTATTAAATTCTTAAGTGAGAATTACTTGTAGCTGCTTGTTAAATTTAACAAGTGCTTGTAAAATATGCATGCAAATATAGTTAAGAGTTGATTGAGTGCATGCAATTCTTAAATAGTTAATTCAATTCAATTATCCACACACATGCAGTCCAATCTTCAGTTTAATGAATAGTTATATATATCTTTAGACAGAACGGTTTATCCTGACTGACTGACTGATTGACTGACAGCTTGATTATCAACGCACAGCCCAAACCGTAAGACCTAGGAGGCTGAAAGTTTTAGTTTAGACTGGGTTGCAGGAAACTCCAATCGCATGTGTGGAAATATCTCCAAAAATTGCTGTATGCCACATATTTGCTTATTATCCAATCGACCTCAAACTCATATTCAAAGATCTCTGCAGATTGATTCATTTATATATGCAGATGTCCTCATTTATATATAGGTCTGTATATTAAATAAAAAAAGTACTAACCAAATCTTTAATTTCGTTTCTCATTTTAGGTAAGTGCTGCTCTATTTGAATTTAAAATTTGATGTAGACTCAAAAGCGTAAGTTTATGCTGAATGATTATTAAATGTGATGAAAACAGGCGAATACATTAATTCTTAAAAATCGTAGCCTATACATTCAACATTTTTCCTGAACAACAAATTTAATTTCTCATCTCTGAGCCCATAAAATATTTATATTCCAGTATCCACAGTCGAGTTGATATAACCATGTCCATCTTTCTGTTGCTCTGCGAGCTAGTCCCTCAGTTTTAAAGCTTTCGTCTTCAAACTCTGCACAGGTTCGCCTTTCTTTTGCAGGCAGTACATATTTCGGATCGGATCACTATATCAAAAGTTCCCATAAGACAGGAAACCTTAATGAAACTATGCTTCTTATAGGAAGCAAAATATACTCTCCATAGTTTTCATTAACCACAGCATTTACGAGCTTCAAGTGTACCAAATAGATACAGAAATAGTTTCCATTTGCATATTCCATATTCATCAGTTGAAACATTTTGAAGCAAAGTAACGAAAAGTCTGGGAAATCTAAGTCAAAGTTCAATACAAATCAAAATGCTGCACTTTCATTACTGTGATGATGCGCTCGTATGATGCACGAAGGCTTGTATGTGTGCACACGTGGACCTATGTGTGTGTGTGTGCTAGTGTGTGTGCTAGTGTGTTTTGTGTGTGCCTTCCATATTGGTAAGTCCACATTTTGTTTGAGCAACCTATAGGGGACAGCTCGAGCAATCAGTTAAGAATTTGTTAAACAATAGCAGCATCAAAAGACAGAGCCCCTACATGTGCGCAGCAAGGGGGTGCAACAAGGAGAGGCGAGTGGATGAAAAGTGCAACGAATTGAAATGGGTAACAAAAGCGAAAAAGGTAACTAGCCAAAGCCATACGAAAGAAAAAAAAAAGTGAAAATAGTCATTGGCAACAGGCACAACGAATGGGGGAAAACTTGTGAAAAGCGATTGAAATGTGTAGCTAAAACAAAAGAGGTTATGTGTGCCCCACACAGAAGGGCCGGCGGAGAGGCATGTTGCACAAAGGGGGGGCTAGTCTGTTCGGGTTTGTGACAACGGCTGTTGCACATTTACCACATGGTATTTCATCATTGGACTCGAAACGGTACTTGGCCTGCTCCATTGTGTTTGCCATTGAGCACGCACATTGAATGGGTGTTACTTGTGGCACTCACTGTATCACATACACTCGCCCAACCCTCACTGGCTGTGTGACAGTGTGTGTGTACACACACACACACAAACAGCAACTTCTCGACATGTGCGGCAAATAGCAAAGCGAAAAGCTATATTGTTGTCGTAATTGTTGCCATCGAGCCTTGTTGCACGAAAGCCGACTCACACACATACCCGCACACACTCACACTCACACTGACACACACACACACACACATTGGTGTGGTCACGGCGGCTTGAATGTATTAAATGGCATCCATCTGAACTTTTACACCATTGCTCATTGCCCACCACGAGAATTTCAAGTATCCTCGTGTCTGTTACGCACATGCGTTCAATTAAGCCATAATTATCACAAATACCTCTCCTTATTATAATTCCCGCCATTTTTGTAGTTTTAAATAAATTGAAAATTCGACATTCCAATTCAAATGGAGCTCAAAGTAACAAAATCGATGCCCTTTTTGTATTATTATCATCTGGCTGTGGTTGGCAAAGTTTAAAGAGCATTTACTATCGCGGAATCTCAAAATTGAGCTTTTGAAAACTTAATAGGAATTTTTAGTTTTGGCAATACAACTTTTATTATGGACAAACAATTGAAAAAGTTTAACTTTTGAGATTTGAAACATTTTTCTCAGAAATACAAATTTGAGCTCAACGAGTAAAAACTAGTTTGATGAACCCAAAAAGACTTAAAATAAATTGATTTAAAGCTGAAACCAAGTATAAAACAATTGGAACTAAAAAATGAGAAAAAACAACAACGAACTTAGTACGTCTAAAAAATCTTCAATTATATTAATTTAATGCTCAGTACAAAACAAATAGAACTAAAAACTAGCAAGGCAAAAACAAACTTAAAACGTCTAGAAAATCGTAAATTAATTTGATTTAAAGCTGGAAGCAAGTACAAAGCAACTGTAACTAAAAAGTAGAGCCGCAATTAACGCTAAGTAAATAAGTCTCACTTCAATTGCTCATGTTTGAGCACAGTTATGGGGCTTACGCAGAGTATTTTCCATAGAATTTAAAACTTACTTACATACATAGTCGCACTCACACACACACACACACACACACACACCTATATCTCGGCATGCACGCCCACTCGCGCACACACACATTAACATACGGCTTGCAATTTGACTTGCATGTTGATTCGTTTCGTTGTATGCCAGGTGGGTGGGGCTTATAGTCTGAGACTTTTTGAGTGGCTGAGCTGGTGTCTTTGCCTGAATGTTGGTTGAGAGCTTGGGCGCGCATGTAAGTAAATAATATGTATGTGTGCGTGTGTGTGGGTGTGTGAGTGTGGTAAATAGAAAATGAGGTCAATAACAGGTAGATTATCAAATAAGCTTTTGGCGAGAGCGAGCAGCAAAGGCAGCGCCCGAGCTGTCTATGGATGGGGCAGCGGATTAGGTGGGGCATCAACAAGCCCGCCACTGCAGCATTGAGGGCATATTGCCTACGCCACAGTTCCACCGACAGCTCACACACACACACACACGGATACACACTGAGACAGAAACAGACACAGACACAAATTGAGCTTGTGCTACAAATCCACATTTTGTGGGCATGCTCAAGACGTCATCGGCATCCCCCTCATGGTATGTGTGCGTGTGTCTGTTTGGATATTTGGGCAAGTGGCTCGGCTTGTACGGTTGGCAATCAACGCCACTCGTACCCTTTCAACTGTCCCTTACACCGCACCGCAACCATCCAGCGCCTCATCCTCCAGCATGCGTGAAGGTCAATTTATCGCCTAATGACGGCGAACAATGACAGGCAACCAAAGCGTTGCCGGCCGTTCCATGCAGCATGCTTTATGCCGTAGCCAAATGCCGCATGCCGCATACCGCATGCCACACGCCACATCCCACATGCCACATGCGCCACAGTAAATGCCTCGTGCTACAAGCTGCTCTTTAACGCTGCTTTGTTGCCCAAGCTGTTGGCTATTGCGACTCGAAGAATCGAGATGTCGATTGGTCTTAGGGATTTTCGGGGCTCACAGCTCGAAGCTTGGGCCTTCTGGATTTTGGCCAGACATCCATTTGGCTATGTGGGCTCAAATTTAGCGCACATTTAGTTTGATTTATTTGCCCTTTAACTGCTGGACACAAATGCAATTACACTCGAAATTCGATTAGCCTGTGGCGGGGTTCGCTCTTCCAAGAACGTATTGGGTATTGTAAATAAGAAAGGATTAGAATGCTTGAAGTGAATTTATGAGTATTCGCTTGTTTTGTAAGTGCGTGTGTTTTGTAATATATGAATGCACTCATCGAGCGTCTTCATGTCAAGCATGAACATATTCATTTCACTTTACATTTCACTTCACTTTAAATGTATTCATTTACTATGTGAATGCATGAACGAGCGCAACAAGAATAAATTGAAAACATATTCAAAGCTATAATGAGTACCCGCGAATTTATGTGCCTAGCACAACTTTTGGAATACGTCTTACCTTATTATTCAAACTACTTTCATGAATATATTCATGAGTGCATTTACTTAACAATAAACAAACCACATTGCCAACTTATGTAAAAGCCACTTAAATGTGTGTCCTTCGAAATGCTGCCTAGTTTACTAAATCAAATCATTTATTATTAGTTCTGCTCAGCATGGAATTTCACGCGTTCCATTGAACAAACAAGGAATTCAATTCACATATTTAAGCAACTGCATGCTAATAAACAGTCCCAACGAGCCATTCATTTAAGACGCATTGCAGGCACTCGCTCGCCCACTCACTTGCCCACTCGCTCGCATACTCATACTATTCATACATATGAATGTTGTCGGTATTCGCTTCACATGGCTGCAAACATAACCATAACCAAGTTAGCAACATCCTTATTCCGGCTATAGAAATGTGTTAAAGCAACTGATTGCTCTGGAATTTGGCTTTCACCCTTTTTGGCCTTTCGTTTTTCTCTAGTTGTTGTTGCTTGTTGTTTGTTTTTTTTAGGCTCGGCCAGTTGAACTACGTCTAGGCTAGGAGGGTGTGGAGGTGGGTGGACGGGGGGTTAATATAGCCAGTAGCACCTGACCAACTGGATGAAGTCAGGCCAGGAGCAGCCAAGCAGTCCGAGGCTGCCAAAAACAAATATAGTAAACTGACAGAACAAACACTCAAATTTCCAAAAAACGACCGAAAAAGATCGACATACTTCAGCTAGAGAGTGAGAGAGGGGAGTTAGCGGCAGCCTGGGAGGGAGCATGCTTCAGAGATAGAGAGAGAGAGAGAGAGAGCAAAAAAAAAGAAAAACTTATTGCTTGGCAAAGCGTGAAATGTTTACGAGCGAGTGACGATGGCGACTCAAGAGGCAGCAGCCTCGTAAAAAGATTTGTGCTTCTGTGTGCCTAGCGCAAATCTTATCCTCTTTACCAACTTTTGCCCCACCGCCCCATCCCACAACCACCAAGCTTACAGTGCCTCACCCCTCGCCAGCACTCAGTCACACTGTTTAATCTCGCTGTCTCTGTCTCGCTTAGCAGCTGACGCGCTGTGTGCACAATTGTAAAGAAAATGTTATTAAGGATTTTCTATTATATAACAAAAAGGCGCACTAAAGACACAGACACAGACACAGACACATACACAGACACACATACACACACACTCACAGACTCTCTGCGAAAGAGACAGAGCTACAGCAAAACGGAGCGACAGTCGCCATTATTTTGGGCTGACACGCATTAAGCAACTGGCATATACACAGTTTCGTGGAAAGCACACTGTGCAAAAAGTTCAACAAGCTATAAAAAAAATATTAAAATATTATATTAAAAAGAAACGCCAAAAACAAGTTTGAAAATGAAATGTTTGCTTCAAGACTAAGGCCCGAAAAATATACAAGAAACCTTAAAGGCCAAACTGTGTGATTAGAATTTAGTCTATTCGACTTATGTTTATTTTAAAACATCTAAATGACTATAATTAATTAAAGTTATATTAAAGATATTAATATTAAAAAGTGTAATGATATTAATAGCTACAAGAAGAATAACTTGATCAGAGGTTTTATCAAACGTAGAAAATAGTTCGCCATTAATATTTTATATTCCAGTGCATATGTGCCTGTACCTAGCCTAGCTGTATGGACATATTTCTATATGTATGTTTTATATGTATGTATATTATGTATGCATGAAATATACAAAACTGTATTGCTGCATCTGGAAAACATCATTATAATCGTGCATGTTGGTGTTCGCTTTTTGGCTAAGGACTTTCATCTGCTTAGGTTTTCAATGCCTTTCGCCAAGTCTTGGCCTGCTGACAGCTCGATGACGTCTTTCACCCATGTGCAAAATGTTTCCATGTATTTGTGTGCGTGTATGTGGGTGTATTTATGCTCAAGGTTCAGCTACAAACATTAGTCAACTGAACCCAAAATGAGCGAGCAACAAAAGCAGCGCCATTGCAATGAATGAAGGAGCAAGCGAGTGGATGGCCAAGTGAATAAGTGAGTGGGTGTATGAGCGAGTATGAATAAATGACTGACTGGGTGACTGAACGACGCCTCTGCATATTATTATTATATATACCAAAATGTACAGCAGCAAGATCGTCGGCGACAGCAGGTCCTGATGCTGGCCCGCCTGAATGCACTTTTCTTTGCGTGCATCTGCAAGGAAATGTTTGATGCGCGCTATGCGCTTCAATGGCAGGCGTGTGTGTGTGTGTGTGTGTGTGTGGATGTGCGTGTATGGGCGTGTATGTTGGCGTGTGTGTGGATGCGAGTGTGGGTGTGTGTATGGTTAAGGCAGGGTCGCACAGTGGTTTAGTTGACAAAATATATTACCTTAATGAAATTAACTTGTGCAAAGCGTTCATCTAAAGATTATCATTTTTCACCTATATTCCGCTTGTGAAAGTTTTTAAATCATTTAATGCAGAACAGCAAAAAATGTTGTGAAAAGTTGATTTGAAATATAATTTAATTCTCACACATTCTTGAGTAACTTATAGAGAGTATCTCTTGAGTATCTTAATGGAAATTTCGTTCTCCAAATATTTCTCCAGTCACTTTTATTTTTTTCGGATCCGTGCTATACATAAATAAATATAAATATTGTTCTTCTTTTTTGAAGTGTTGACTTTTTTTATATTACCTACATATATAATGCTTCAAATATTCTAAGAAATTTCTTTTTATAATTATTCTCCTGCTATTTGCCAGTACCTAAAAGTATTCCCTGCAAAAGGATTCCAAAATAAATGTGGATTTTAAGCTGTATCAATATTTCTTGGAAACAACAATTTTTGTTAACAAAGCTTTGCAACGAATTCTTTCAAATTAAAGCTTTTTCCACAGAATTACTAAAAGGCATGTTTGTCTTTGAACTTTGGTTGAAAAAGCCTGAATTAATTGTGAAATACACAGAATACCAAATTTCCAGCTATCAAACTTTGCTTAAAAATAGCTCATAAATTTCTAGATTTATTTATATAGTTTTTCTTTTTACTCTAGCTGTTTCCACTGTGAATTTTAGCTGTTTTCGTAGCGCTGCTGCGAACAACTTGTTATAAACATGCTTTTTATTACGTTTTGCAGGGGCTGCCTTTGACTTTAACAATGTCAGCCATTTTGGTGCTTTTGTGGCGCGTCTGAAGCTCGCCGTGGCGCCTCAAAGTATGCAAGG